AAATATGTGATCGTTTTGCTTCAAGCAATTTTCCTACAAGTTAACAAAAAATATTATTAAAAATGTTTAAACAAATAAACACTAAAAAATAAAAAAAATGTTTACCTGCTTTGACATAATTAGAAGCATTGTCTGTCACCACTTAGATCACATTTTCCTCGCCCACTTCCTCGACAATCTCATCAAGCAAATGATATAATAAATTAGCATCTTTTACAATTTCTGAGACATCAATTGATTTAAGGAAAACCGAACCTTTTGGAGAGTTAACAAGAAAGTTCACGATATCCTTATTAGCAATCGAATCACGCCACCCGTCCGATAAAATTGAGCTACCCTTTTGTGCCCACTCCTTCTTGTGCTCATTCAAATATACCTCCGTATCACTTACTTCTTGAACAAGAAGTGGAACTCTTAATTCATACATGGATGGTGGTTTCAACCCTGGACCGTATTGTCCAATAGATTCGCACATTTCTGCATAACTTGGGCTGGTAGCTGCATTGAACAGAATTCCATTATCGTAAAAAAATCTTGCTATTGACCTGCAAGTTTTCTCCCTGAGCTTCTTGTCAATGGCTTTATAGACTTCATTCACATCTTTCTTCGGATGAGCTTTAGGATTGACAAACATATCCATTGCCCCTTTGTTCTTTGATTTTTGTTGACAAAAGCTCCCTCTTCTTCCCCATCCAAGTCACCAACCAATTCAAATTCACGAGGTATCATTTGACTTTCAATCTTTAAAGATGCTTTTTTCTTCATAAAATCTGATATTTCTATTTTCACATGCTCAGGTCAACGAGAACATTTGATCACATTTGTAAATCCTCCAACTAAATGTTATAAGGTGTGCCTCTCTGCCGCCTTCTGTTGAGTGCCTTATTTTTATAAATCCTTCAACTAAATGTTATAAAAGACTTTTTAATCTCTTTAATTGCTACCAAAAAAGCGACGCGTCACGCTTCACGCTTCACACGTCATAAGGCGCGTCTCTCTGCCGCCTTCTGTTGAGTGCCTTATTTTTATAACATGATGCAATTTCCTCTGCGCTTGTGCGCCTCTGCGCCTTAGGCGCAAACCAGGCGCGCTTTTTTATTCTAAGATGCCATTGCGCTTATCCTGACCAAAGCTCGTAGTAGCTCCGGTCAAACGAGAACCACGATCGAAGCCTATCCCGACCATCTTGACTCTCCCGAGGAATCCCGACACTCACAGACTGTCTCGATGATCATGACAAATTTGGACACTCACATTCTCGACCACGAGTATGGACCACATATGGCATTACTCGAGAGTCACACATGCGACATGTCTTACCCACATCTGGACTGGACCACAGACGCACTCCAAGCCCATCCGACTCTCTCCCTTGCTCTCGTCTCAAGCCCGTTCGTCCGACCCCACATGCACGTCTAGGTTTGTCGTACATAGATGGTTATGGCAAGATTTGTCTGATTGATTATGATTGACTCTTATTGGTCATGATTGATTATTTTCTCGAGGACGACAAAATTTAAGTTTAGAGAGATTTAGTAATCTCTATTTTTCTCTATATTTTCAAGATGTTTTTCATATGATTTATATGCAGTCACATGCATTTGTAGACATTCTATGCGTGTTAGGCCATACAACTCGGTTGTGCTTCAATTTTGTAGGATTATAGATCTCTGGTGATGTTTGGACTCAAATGAGGGTAATTTTGGAGTTTAAAAGATGAAGTCTAACATTTTCCGAAGTACTGCATTTGTAGGCTTTCTAGGTGTCTTACTTTACTTCCGAGAAATTTAACTTACTGATATGTCGATTCCAAATAATTAAAAATCCTAAGAGCATTAAGCTCACTATCATGTTTTCTAGATGTTCATTTATCTCTCAATACAATCAAGTGACCAGAAAGATTAAATGCATTAAATACAATTCATTCAAACCAATAATCAAACTCATAGTTGAAAAGATAGTTTAAACACACTTATATGACTTCAATTTCTAACCTATAATGAAAATATTATCCAAACATCATGTAAAACAAACAAGACAACAATAAACAAAGGTTCATGATGAAAGTAGAGATAAGTAGAAGAGATTTCTCAATGGTTTTTGTGTTGATTTAGTGCTCTATGATAGTACTGTTTTACGAGCTTTTTTATGATACATTTGATGTATTGACACTTTCTATGGTTTTATGGATGAGTGTTTGATTCATTACGTATTGCGCATACTTTAATATGTTATGAAATCCATGTATTGTTATGAACAATACTAAACTCCCTAGTTCTATATCATTGTGGGAACAATGATGTACTAATACTAGTATGATGTGTGATATATGATCATAGAAATGATCATGGGTATTGGATACAATCACAATCATAGGTATTCGTTGGAGAACGGAATACTGGATTGACCCGCATGAGATTGTCACATGGACTATCGTCATGAATTGAATCTCATGTGACGGTTCCATGATTGGATCCTATGACCTGAGATATCTACGGAATCCAACATGAGGAGTTGCGTACATTGAATACGTCAAACGTTCTACGTAACAGGAGGACTATAAAGGCATGTATCAGATACGACACGAATCATGTGCTGGATTGTAGATAGTCAAGATGGGATTTGTACCTCTCGTAAAAGAGAGAGATATCGCTGGACTCCTCGTGTGAGCGAGACTGTAGAAATATGTAGCCACACTATAGACGAGCATCGTCTATTTCGTACACTCGAACTCAGTGAACGAGAAAACAGTCGAATTAGATAAGATGGCTTTTTCATGCCTTATGTTCGACATATGATATCGTGACACAAAAGGATCATCAACCGGAATCATCACTGACGTTCGTAAGATCACGAACAAACTCTATTCAAGATAGGTAGTCACACTATCTTGCTAGAGACCGCCTATGACTTGTATATCCGAAATAGAGATTTCGGCTTATACTACTATATCGAATGAGTCTACAGGATCACACACGCAAGGAAGGACGAATGCACGAGAAAACGACGAAAAACCGAGACAGAAGGGTCCAGACCCGACGGACCAGAAGGGCCAGACCCGACGGTTCGGCAGGGCCAAACCCGACGGGCCACACC